CCTGCTTGATCCGTGGCCTAAACAGAGTAACACGCACTAGGTACAGCCACATTCTCATCTCCGGGGACTTCAATCTACACAATCTGGAGGTTTCGGCATCGCCCAGTGAGCAGTTCAAAGCAGACTTGCATGAACTGATCGCTAATATTCCTTTGTACAATCATGTCACCACGCCCACTAGATTCAGGACAGCAAACAAACCGTCCATATTGGACCTTGTGCTCACAAATGAAGAGCTCATGATTGACAAGTTATTGATGGATAGTCCATTAGGTCTCAGTGACCATGTAGTAATAACTTTTGACTATGTGTGTTATGCAGAGTATCCATCTGAACACTCGGAACTAACTCATACAATCACACGCTACCACGTATTGAAAGAACTCGCCGACGCAGCTGCTTGGGAATTCTCAAACAAAAGTCCCCTTGACAACGTTTGGGCAGAGTTCGTTAATAGACTCAGCGACATCGTCAACAAAGCATCAGAGACCAAACCCCTTCGTCCCGCGAAAATGCCTTCAATTATAAGGAGTAGGACTCGAAAATGCCTGGCGATAAGGGATGCAGCATGGCGTGCCTACAAGATTAACCCCGACTCAGAGACTTGGGGAAATTTCCTGACCCATCGCAACCATTGCACTGCACTTGTCCGTGAGGACAAAGTAACTTATCAACAGTGCCTAGCCAAAAAGTTCATGGCAAACAACAAACTGCTATATAAGCATGTCAATAAGCTTCGTAAAGTGAAGCATGGAATACCCCCACTATTCACGACAGGCGGTAGAGTACAAAGCGCCGAAGAAGCAGCTAATGCCCTGCGGCTGCAATACGCCCCAATTTTTGAACTCGCAACATCTACCTGTCCCATAATATCAAGCACATTACCGACACCTTTGTTTACAAATGTAATTTTCAACCCATCAATTGTGCTAAGGAAGTTACTCTCACTGCGTGAGCATAGTTCTCCAGGAGCAGACAACATCCGCCCGAAGGCACTGAAGGCTACGGCCACCAAGCTAGCTGAACCACTGTCACAGTTCTTTCAAAGGTGCTTTGATGAACAACAAGTCCCCACTATGTGGAAGTGTGGCATTATAACCCCTATTTTTAAAGGCGGTAGCCGTTCCGATCCTGCAAACTATCGTCCAGTGACTCTCCTCCCTGTGCTCGCGAAGGTGATGGAAGCAGTCGTCGCTGAGGCTTTAATGGACTACCTGGAAAAATGCAACATTTTGGTACCGGAACAGCATGGCTTCCGTCAACACCGGTCATGCACCACCAACCTACTTATTGCACGAGGTAGTTGGACGGAAGTGGCCGATGATGGGGTCGGAGTCGACGTCATCTATCTGGACTTCTCCAAAGCTTTCGACCGCCTTGATCACCGCATCCTACTTCAAAGACTACAAAGTTACGGAATCGGAGATCCTGTACTTGGTTGGATTGGCAACTTCCTTTACCAACGAAAGCTTCAAGTACGTGTTAGGGGATCACTTTCTAACCCAATTGAGGTGGAATGTGGTGTCCCACAAGGCTCAGTGCTGGGACCGCGTTTATTCCTGGTGTTTATCAACGACCTGGCAAGAGTCATCTCCTCAAATTTCCTGCTTTTCGCCGATGACGTCAAGATATGGCGGGCGATTAGTAACAAGGCAGATCAGGATCTGCTCCAACATGACCTAGATTGCATTTACGAATGGTCAAAGAGGAACAAGCTTCAATTGAACATGGCTAAGTGCAAAGTGATGCATCTGCGTCACCAGCCGGTGAGCGCTTACAAGATTGGAGACCACATCTTGGCGAAGGTTTCTCAGGAGCGTGACCTGGGTGTATTGGTACAGGAAGATCTCGGGTGTTCAAAACAAGCAGAGAAGGCGACGAGAACCGGAAATCAACACTTCGGCCTTCTTCGCAGAGCCTTCGGTCGGTTTGAACCCTCAATATTTCCCCAAATGCTTAACGCCTACGTGCGACCTCACGTGGAATATGCTATTCAGGCGTGGCAGCCGTGGCAGAAACAGGATCTCGTTGCTCTCGAGACTCCTCAACGACGGGCAACCAAGAACGTCAGGGGCCTCTTTCATCTGCCCTATCAGCTTAGACTGAAATCTCTAAGAATGTACAGCAGTCGATATCGGCTTTTGCGGGGGATCTCATAATGGTTTACCAGATTCTGAAGAACCCAAACCACATTTGCCGTCCGCTGCTGGAATTGAACCACAACACTAAACTAAGAGGTCACCCTCTGAAACTGACAATTCATTATAGCCGGCTTGAATGCCGTAGAAATTTCTTTTCTCTCCGCGTGTGCCAGCCTTGGAACGCCCTCCCTAATTATGTCATCTCTGCTCCCAATCTGGCGATATTTAAAAAACGTGTTGACGATGCATTGTCTCACTTACATTTCATTTTATGACTTGTTAGCCAGGGGCTACAAAACGCAATCAAACGGTGTCTTGCCAAACGCCTAACCAATGGATTTATGGATTTATACGTTTAATACGCGAACATCTCCGCTATTCCACATAAGTCTATGGTGAGTCCACCACAACGCTTTTCACTTTATTATGCAATTGATTTTCGCAATAATTTCCATCCCACGGGACTTGTTAAGCGATGCTTTTTTACCCGTAATAAATCATTGTTCCATTGTTTCATTGTTACAAGCAACTATGGTATCTGTATTATGTTTTTCCACAACTTTCCAGACAGCTCTGAGGAAGCAGACACTAACAGCCGTTTACAGAGTTGGGTTCTAGCTTTACTGTCAGAATATTTGGCTTCCATTATCAATTGACAAAATATTTTGGGCAAGCCGATGTCTTGTCTCGTTTAAATGCTACTCATCCATCTGGCAGCAACCAGACAGTGCTCGCTAGCATTAAAATGGACCAAGCGATAAATCTGGGGATTCTATACGCCGCGAAATGTTTCCCAGTCTCGTTAAAACCCATACAACAAGGCAGCACATGATTCCATCCTTCGTAAACTGATGAAGCACGTCAAAAAGATGTTGACCATCACAAGTATCCGATCGCGAACTCATTTCCCATCATCAGTACCAGGAGAGTTTATTTGTCGTCGATTCATGTTTGATTTCCGCCGAAACTATGATTGTCCCCACATCCTTACAACGACTCATACTTATTCAACTGCACAAGGACATGAAGAAATAAAAAAAACTAAAGTTCAAGCCAGAGGTTATGTTTACTGGCCAGAACTGGACGATAATATCATGCACTTGTGTAAGCTTTGCGAAAAATATGCTACGACGCAACCAGCGCCGAATCATCTAGTGCCCTTACCGTGGTCGGAAACAACAACACTTTCGTCTCGCGTTCATGTCAATTTCACAGGCTCAGTTAACAGCAGATCATATCCGATTGTAAAGGACGCTTAACTTAACTTCCTGGATGTCAACAATGTTTTGACCTCAATCATTGCATCAACCACCATCAAACAGTTGCGCCAGGTTTCAACTCGTTTTGATATGCCAAATCACTCGTATTGGACAATACATCACATTTGACATGCAGGGTTTTTGCAAGATTATATCACTTCAAATGTATGACCCATTTGTGAAAGCCACCCTTCCACCTTCAATCTGATGTTCAGGTTGAGCGATTTGTTGACAAGTTAAAGCGGATACTGATTAAAGCACAGTGGAACGGTTCTACGCCTGAGTGCATACAAACCTTCCTCATAGTGTAATGAAGCACTCCACATCACGCGCGTGATTGTGAGTCGCCGTAAGAACAGCTGTTAAGAAAGCAAATCAGGTCTGTCTGGAGTAAAATTATTCCGAGGCAAAGAGAGTTAGCCGACCTGAAAAGTACAGAATGTCTAGCAGCATGGAACTGTGCAGTCTAAAGGTCGGCGATCCGGTATGGGCAAGAGCTTTCGGCCAATGTAAAAACAGATGTGTATCTGGTGCAGATACCATTTTGATTGATCGAGTCGCTTACCTATAGTGGTCCATGACGAAACTTGGCACTGCTACATGAACCAACTCAGACTCTAGCCTAAAAGTAAGCATTATTTACCTCCCAGCAATCCCAAGCGTGACTTTCAGATATTGCTGGAAAGTTCTCGTTGGGGGAACTAACCGACGCAAATTCAGATCGAGTGGAATATGCTAACCAGGAGTCGATACCATAATCGGATCCGTTACGCAGGAGCCCAATACGGAATCGACGACTACTGGGTCGATTCAAAAGGACTCAAGGGCTGGAGGCTCCTGACAAATACGTGAACAGAAGAGGGAGGTATCATATACGGAATCCTGACGCCAATGCTGTAAATGACCCGATGCCAGCCATTCGCCGGTCGAAGCAGACTGTGCCACCGCGCAATCATCAATGATTCAGACAATGGTGAAACGTCTAACTCAGTCATTGCGATACACATGCTTGCCTCTTGACTCGTGATCTCGTAGTATCAATACTACATGGTCTTACACATGGTATATTATGTTACCCACATATTTGGAATGGCTGAGTTCGTATCGCACGTCTGCTGGATATTCTATTCATGTATATGCGTTTATATTGCATGTCTCTGAGTTGTTGCTTGCAATTAGTTTGCTGATTTTTCGCAAATTTTCACTTTTAAACAACATCTCCTTTTGAATGATAAAGTCGCGATTGTTGAAGGTAGTTTCCATGCGTGGTCACACGATACTTGCTAGGAATATGAAACCACGGAATTTAATGAATTTAATATGGAAATTTGGTGCTGTAATGTGATCAGCAATCCTGCGCTTTTATATAGTATATTTGTTTTGATTGGCTAGTTTTATGTTTCATGCTTTGGTTTATGTATTTACAAAGTTACTTGCTTCCAGTTGAGAGGATATATATATACATATATATATATATATATTTATATATATGCTTCCATGTAGCATCGAATGAGGAACTTATAAAATGTGCAACTGTTCTTTCGTTATACCATTTCTTATAAGTCATTTCTGCTTTCGACCCTATCTATCCACTAAGTAGAGACAACGACAACTACGAGCACCCCAAGCACCACCACGGAATCGACTAAAACCACGTCCACTATGAGAGATGACGAAACAACTACATTCACAGGGTCGTCTTCAAATGGTGGGTAAAACATTTGTTACAAATGCTTATTAAAATGACGGCAAACTTTGTAACGCAATGTCTGCAGTCCTATTATATAAAATTAAACATTTTGCTTTGAACGATAATTAGATATTCCTATTTCAACTTCTTTATCCAGCTGAAGCTTTTACTAAAACCAAGGGTTATTTTCAGTGGTGGTATGTATATGTGTACTGATGCGATAGAGGATATATTAAGATATATATGCCTTGGGTAACTAGAAGACCTTCGTTTGCATTTTTTCAAAAGCTAGACTACGTGTGTTTTATTCTTATATATCTGATGCTTGGCTGTACCTTGACAATTCAGCAGAATGTGCCGTTTAACTTCTATTGCTTGTGGTGTGGAAGCATCTATCTTTAACTCAAATGGTTCAGTCGGAGCTGGTGGTGTTCGCTGAGCTCATCAGTTTTGCTGCAAACGCTTCATCATCACTTGAGGTGAGATAAGCAGTGCGCTAGTAAGTAGCGGGGCACAGCGGTGCGATGCGAGGGTTTAGTGAATCAGATTGATTGACTGTCTGGGCGGAAGTGCCATCCCTTTGAGTCCGAATTGTTCGACAAGCACATGACCACGGAAGTTGATTCCTCTGATTCGTAGCTCGTGAAGTTAGCCTTCTCATACATTCATGAAGGAACCAGAGCTGTTCACGTACTCATGTGCCTGTCAAACAATTCCAACTCAGAGAAGTCTCGTCAAACGCTCCATTCTGCTACATGCGAGCGCACTGATGGACTCACCTAGAAAAAGGAAAAATCGAGCGCAGCATAACTGCCGAGCTCCGTTACATGTATTTCCTAATAGAAGCACGATATATAATTTCGTCAATAGCAACATAGTAGCAGTGAATGCAGTAAGCGCAGACCTCAATCAATCACTCAATCACATCTGGCATAATCCAAATGCAATGCTAACGAAGTTTTAGACTTTGTTCGTCATTCTGTTTATAGCTAAGTACCTTCAGCTACAGCAAACATAGTTTCAAACCTGTTAATAAACCTTAAACACTTTCAATAATAATAAAAATAATAACACCTTATTTTTCAAGATACGATAGATAAGTGTTGGTCTCGGAGTTATTCATAGATGCAAACATGCTACTGGCAGTACATTTAGTTCAACCTCGGTTTGGCCTAGTTGATTCTAAATTAAGTGAGTGAAGACCATTTGACCAAAGCTAGACATATTACTGCATCCTACTGCTGCATCCTACGCAATTAGGGGACCACATTGTGTGAAGTAAAAATGTACCTTGGGTAATGGGTAAAGCCTTCAACTTAGCCGTTGTTGTTCCCCATGAAAAACAATTTTTACGCTAATTATTGCGGAGCCATCCACTACGTATAAATTGTTTTTTAGTTTCGTTTATCTTAGTTACTGGTGATGACCATAATTTCCTTTTCGTTCAATTTTTCAAAACTCTTCGCAGCATGGCTTTTTGTTTGCAATTAGTAAAATATTCCTCTAGATTCATGAACGCCTTCATGGGAATTATCTAAAGGCAATCTGGAAAAATGGAAAAGCATCAAGCTGATTGATAATTCAGTGTAGGTCGTGCAGTAAGCCGGACGAATTACCAATCATCCTCTCATTATTACAAGAAAAATTCATGTATCTTACCGCAATCCTGCACCGAGGTGCATATTCAAATGCCTCCGTTTTGATGCTAAAAGGCAGTTGGTTCCATTCTGATGTGGAAGAGGAAATTTCTCAACTTGCTAACTACCGTTGTATCAGTTCCGGTCGACCAGGATTATCCAAGAATCGTGGAGACGGTGTAATCAGTTATATCAACAAAGCTAGTGCAAAACTGCAGCCTTACTTTTCATATGCAAAAGATCCACTTTTAGCTGTCATTTGATTGAATGTAAGCCACGGTTCCTGTGCGGTTATAGTTCTATTGTCAGGGAAACGTGTACATATCCTCTAAAACACCGGCGTTCGCGCTACAAACATTTGCCGAAGATTTATCCTCGGTTGTATTACCGAAGTCCTAACGCTCAGTCTGTATGATTGCTGGAGCAAAGTAATGGGGCATTGGTTCACCACAGGTCTAACAGCGGATGTTTGACATGTGCCGTAGGAAGATTGGGGTGAAAACCGCAAATTTAAAATCTACTGCCACAGTAAAAGAAATGGTGAGATACATGACTTACCAAGGGTTTTGGATTAACACCTGTGCGAATATTCCTGCCTGGATTATAGGGGAGTTTTAATGTCTTGCATTTTTCGTTGTGCAATTACACCATCATCACAACGTCATAAACTACATCACACACTACACGTACACACACTATACACGTTAGCTAGAGGTGGGAAACACCTCAGCTACTGTGCCGCCACACTTAAAAGAAACAAGGAAATAAAATGCAACAGGTGCAAGTCAGCTGAGCTACCGGTAACTGATAGGCATTGTTCCGATAAGTTACCTGTCGGCTACTATGCAGCGGAAAAAAATAATTTACCATGCAAAATTGTAAAATATTAAATAATGAGAGCGTAGTTGGAGAGGGAGGCTAAGAGGGATAGTGTGGGACAAAAAAACTCTCACCACGAATGCTGATGAGGTCGGCTCCTAACCATATCAACAACTGTATCCAGCCAAACGTGTTCACCGTCTTTCGGATCGCAACCAGGTAGCCGAGACGCTGCAACTGTGGCCATCTTCGAAGTGAGGGCCTTCATTCCTCTCGACCAAGTCATAGCTTGGCAACCCCTACTCTTTTTCCATCCACAGCCCCGGCGCGCAAATAACGTACGTCACCTGAGTCGGCAAGCTTGCATGCACAACACGCAGCAGAGCCATCGTAGCATGGTGCGCGAAAAAACGGTGCTGAGCCGTTCGGTTGCTTTTCTTCTGACGTAAACAAGGCGTCGAACACGCTCGTTGCTCAGTCGGTGTTCCCACAAGATGTGAGCAAATTTGCTAAGGCACCGGTGGTCGAACATAACTAGCATCTTAAGGTCCGCTGATCTGAGGGGCTAGGTTTCACAACCGGACAGTAGGATCGAACGTACCGGGGCATTGTACACTCTACCCTTCAAGACGAGAGTGATGTCGCTCCGGCACCGTAAATGGCGAAGGTTAGCAAAAGAGCCTCCAGCTTTTGCTGTACGGTTCATCTCATCCTCAATCCCACGGGTGCTGATACAATTTCCCTGGTAGTTGAATTTGTGAACGACTTCTAGCAGATCGCCACCAAGGGTCAGCATAGAAGGCGGTCCATGGGAATCTTGGAGGAACGCTTTGCAATTCGACGGTGCAAAGCAAAGCCCGAAGCGGCTGACAACCAATGCTAATCTGTCCAATCCTACTTGGCACATTTTCGAGCCGGTTTTGGAATTTAGAAATTATAATACCAATCCCAAGTTCTGAAGCGTCAGTTGCTAAAATCGCGGAATAGAATACGCCGAAAACCGACAGGGCTGGCGTGGAGACTAATCATTGTTTTGTCTCATCAAAGGCCTCTTGTTTAGGTCGACTCCAAACAAATACACATTTTCCCTTATATCCCGTATTAGATGCAAAATCTTTGTAAAGCACCATCATCATCATCATTATGCACGTTAGCTAGAGGTGGGAAATACCTCAGCTACTGTGCCGCAAATCTTTGTAAAGCGCTGTCAATACTTTAGATTATACGGACAGATCCACAGGAAAAAATGCCCCACCTCCCTAGGGTTATGTGTACAAACGTTCTCAGTGTTTGCTCGGGTGTTTTCAATACTCAGGTTGATGATGCCAGTTATACTAATGTGGCCCAGAAACTGGCTACCGCCAGGACTAAATTTGCAAGTTTCGAGACATAAGCAAGGGTTATGCTCGTTTAGTCTGCCGAAAACTGTATGCTTTCGTGAATGATGTTCTTTTGTTGCCCTACCGAAGACATTTATTATTCAAGTAGGCTATTTAACCTGATAAATTTGCAACAGAGCAGACCATAAACTTCTGCCGAACCACTGATGCAGAATGCAGACCCATAGACAAAATTTACACTGTAGAACCCAGCTATTGCAAGAAATACTGTCAGTGTTTTTGGTTGCTGAATTACAGACACGTGGAAGAAAGTCCTCCAACATTTTTAACAAATCGGGCCCGCGTCAGTTTGGTTAATAGTAAGTACGCAGTTGGAGGTGCAAACTTCTGGACAACGATTTGCTGATTAAGGGCCTACAAGTCTTTGCACATTAGCGCTAAGCCATACTTTTTAGGGTCTCAACCATAGAGTGTACCCATCCAAAACAGTTGATCCGTTCAATGAGTTCGAACGCAAGCATCTGCTGTAGGGCAAAACAAACAGTTTACATTCTGACCAAAGAAAAGAGACGTGGCTAAGCAACAGCTATCGGCTTAGAAACCTGCTTCAATAGTAACGGAGATCGGAGGAGGGAGTTTGTTCCATTGTTTTTATAAGCAAATTTTGGGGACTGCTATCTTACAATGGATAGGTTGACCGCGGTAATAAGCACACGATATAGAGTTGGCGTAACTCTTAGCACAACTACATAATTCTGTCTAAGTAATAGGCGGTTACACTCACAGGTTGTGTGCTAATCAACTGATGGTTTAATATTTCCGAACAGCAAAGAAGTTGTATCAATGCCAAACCGGTAGGCTGATGGTGTATACCAATCAGGTGAGTGTCGTAAAAGAGACGCGGACTCATGTTCCATGTCAACATGCTTTGTTTTGCATGATGGGTAAGTCAGTACAAGTACCGTGCATAAATAACGGACATGTTGATTTTCAGCAAAATCAAACATTTGCATTTTATTAATATAATATAAAATCAGAAATCACTTCAGGGTAGAGAATTCTCTTCGGTAAACCTCATCAGAACCAGAGAGTTACATAGCACTACTTGTGTGGAAAACACCAAATCGGGCTGGGATTGAATTCTGGACAGCTTAGAAGACCAAAACCGATTACTTAAAGACAGGAATATATATATATATATACATATATATATATATGTATA